AGGGAGGGGGAGATAACAGGAGAGAATAATGCAAAATGAGACTATGCTGTGAGCTTCATATCCCATCTGGAAGCTGTTTTCCCCCAGTACACTGCACACCCACTCCCTCTGGGCTAGGATGGTAAGGGTCAAGTTTCCCAGTTGACTGGTCCTCTTTACTAAAGCCAGGCCCATCTGTGCAAAATCTACCCGAGATGATCTCAGTAGAGTTGCAGAGTCCTTCATTGTCACAAATGTCTTGACCAGTCAACTGAGGAGTGGGTGCTGGCTGGAAGGCACTCTTGAAGAGTTTAGGTCTTGAAGAGGCTGTGAGAGGATGAGCCTGCTCTGCTCCTGTATGTCTGTCTATCCCACCTTCCTTCACATCTGAGTTTTGGGGACTCTTTCTTGGACCTTCCCTGGTCTGCTGAGATCATTGTCGCCATTGCGTCAGCAAAAGTCTCCCCAAAGCCTAGCATGGTTGTGTCATTTTGTGGCAGCACATGAAGGCCTTTAGCTGTGCTGGCCCCACTCTGGGTGGGAAGGGAGCACTGGTGGCCACCCAGCACCTTCTTTGGCATGTGACCTTCCAGCCAGGATAAAGCTGCTATCCATTTGATCAGGTGATAAACCTGCTTCTGTATATCGCTCAGAAGCTCATACTCTGCCATGATCTGCACAGCTGTGAGACACCACACCCTGGGACATGCAGTTTCCTGAGGCCTTCTTTCTCACACGTGTGAAGGAAGCCTCTGAGTTTTGCCAGATAAGTGCAGCTCCCAAAATGAGGCTCGGTGGGACAGAGTTTGCCTGTTCTGGGTTAGCAGGCTCAAACTGAGCTAATTAGCCGTGGCTTTGATGGCATCTATCCAAAATAAACTCTGGGCTGTCTTCACTGTGCCCATCACAGTTGAATCTGGACAAGAGGACTCTCTCCTCTTACCATGCGGTTGCATGCACAGGTGTCTTATATTAATAAGAAATCTAAAATTAACAATACCTGTTGGATTCAGGAGAGAATGGAGCCAACCCAGAGACCCAGCAGTCTTCCTGGGATGTGGTGACAGCTTCCTGCTGGTCCTGTAGTTTCCATTGTGGATATAGCCAGCTACAAAGCCATGTCATTATATTTGTTTGCTTTACCCTTCCTGCTCATGCTTTCCTCTGCTTCCTGCCACCTTCTTTGAGTAAAATAGCAATCTTCAGCTCTGTGTCAGCTATAGGTGCTCTTGCTCCTTGAAGGTGTCAGATCCTTGGTGCCCCCTTTGATAATAACCGTAGTTATTCCCAATCTCATAGGCTATCATCCTTCTCTCCACTGTCTGTGTTTGGAGATGTTGGATTGGTATATGTATGAGTGATGAGAACTGAAATGGGACTGCTCTGGTGAGAAAGCTTTGCCAGTATTTAATTGTGATGGAGGATATGACCCAGGAGCCCAGAGAGGGGTAGGTGCCCCAACATTTCTGGATGCCCAGGGAAGCTGCAAGTTTCATTCTTTGCTTATCACCTATGTTTGCTCTGTCCTGTGCAGTAGGTCTCTGTCTCTTGGGAGAGAATGGTCTCTTGGGGACCTAACTCCCATGTCTCTTGGAGAACAGTGTTGCCTTCATCCTTGCTTCCAAGCAGTGAGGTCCTCCAACAAACCTGGTTTTTTGTTTGGGAATATAGCCAGAGGCACATCTCTGCCTCTTCCCTCCAGGTAGGTTTGTCCTACAATGGAAAGATTGTTGACTGACCGAGAGAGATCGTTGTTCTAAGTGTGGGTGGGATGCCACTAAAAGATAATCTGTGGAGCTACTGCATAAATGCATTCTCTTGACTCTCTTTACTCCCACCTTTGCCTTTGTTAATGCACAGTCGTGAAAGAAATTTTAAGCACATGGCAGAATTGCAGACAGCTCTCCCCACAGCTGTCCGTCCAGCTCTGCTTCTCCTCCAGGGCTACACAGTGGTTCTAGTTTTGGTGGTCACAACAGTATATAAGATTTGAATGCCTCTTGTTTTATCCTGGCTCTGCTATGCTGTGGTGTGCCAGAACTCTGAATCCCTTCACTTCTCTGTGGTTATATTCTCACCCTCACTGTAAGGTTATCGTGTTCATATCCTGTATTTGCTTGTGTTGTTTAGAGAACACAAGACAAAGAACAGCTGTTACATGAACAGGCGCTCTCTGGGGTTAATGCTCAGGACTCCAAAGTCTTTATCCCTCTATGCTGTAGGATAGGACAAAACCTGTTTTTCTAGTGGTTTTTAGATAACTGTCTAACCCAGTTTCATCTGCTGACTCAGGTCCCTCTGAAGAAGTTATGCTCTGCATGGATGGAAGATATTTTCTGTCACTTGATTCAAGTGCAGAAATGCTTCTAGGCAACTTGGAAATGGATGGGTAGATTTTACCAAGCAACCCCGCCAACTCGTGTCTGCTATGGGAACAAGTGTAGAAAACTTCAGCCCAGACATCCAGGGAGGGCCTCAACACTGGGATTTAGCATGAGCATGCCTTTTCTGCAGTGTCTGCCCTCCAGGGAAGCCTCCGATGGTGGTGTGTTTGGCTCTCACTCCAGGCAGTCAGAGGACAAGTGGGAAGGAAGCAAAGGGAGAGAAACCTCGTGTCAGGCAGAATGCACGTGGGAGGGACTCCACCTCCACTTCCAGCATGCTCTGTGAGCATCTGAGGTTTTAAATTGAGCAGCTGAGGGATGATGTTGGAGGGTAAAAGGCACTGACATGTTCAAGATTGCTACAACTCACCATCTCCCTCCCCCACTTGTTGGAAGCATGGGTCTGTTCAGCTAAAGCCTACTTCACTCTCCAGCCCTCTGACAGCCAGTGGAATGTTGACAGAGCTACTGTGCTCTGGTAAAACAAATACATATTCCTGCAGGAGCAGGAACCTACAGGCTCCGGCATCCGGGGTCCTCTGGCCACCGCCTCCCTCAGTCCCAGCACTGATGAAAGAAAGGACTGCATGCACCCCATGCTTCTCTAGGAGCCAGGCTCCTTCCTGAGCTCAGCTCTCACACTGGAATTCACTGGCATTCATGTCTCCACTCTAGAACCTGTGTGCTCTCTCCCACTCTCATCCATACCCTGTTGCTCTTGGTATTTCAATATACTGCTTTCAATGCCTTTCTGCCCACCCAGATGCTTTTCCAGGCAGGGGGTGGGGGGACAGACCCAGTCCGACTCTGCTGAGCTCTCTCCAGTTCATTTAAGTTACACAGTTCCGTCTGTGTAATACAGTCACTTGAATCTATCTGTCTTTTCTTTCCTCTCCCTGAGCCAGAAGCCTCAATCTGCCAACAAATGGGATAATTTTTCAGCTGGTGTTTGGCAGCCATCATTTTTCTCCCTGCCCAACCCATACTTTGTTGTAGCAAATGGAAAAGTTAGTGATTTGACTTCTGAAAAGGAGGATGTGCCTCAAAGGAAGCAGGTTCACTGTAGTATCAGGAGCCCAGCTCTGCAGCAGAACTGGCCAGATTTACTAACTGTTACTGGAATGATTAGTGGAATGATTGTTTGTTGTTAACAGCCCATCTGTAGTGTTTAAACTTCATTGGGGAGCCAAATTTCACAGGCATTATCTGGCTGGAATACAACCTCATATGGTCCACAGAGGGGCTGTTAAATCCCAGAGGAAATTAAATACAACAGGGGGCCTTCCTGTTATGTTGATCCAACCAATCTTTTTTTCTCTGATAGAAATCAGCAGCTGGGTTGATGTTCTCTGGGCCATCAGTGTGCCTATTGCCGCTGGCAGAGAACATGAGAAAGTGTCTGTCACCAAGGACAGGCACTGAAGACCATGATTTTCTGCCACACTTGCACTTTGTCATCATAGGAATTTCTTGCCTTGTGCTCTATTCAGTTTGTTGTCACAGCGAGATGGTGCTAGGAAGATGCAGATAGGTACTCACAGAGAAAGGGGGAGATGAGAGAATATAGAAGTTTCACGAGTGTTTGTGGCATAGATAAACAAGCAGTGATATACAGCACCACGTCCCTTTCTGTCTTAATTAAAGGTGTTTTTGTCAACCTGATGCAGGCAAGGAATAGGAACTGCTTTTTCCCATCCAAAAACTGTTGTCACTAAGGTTTGGCTCTCAGTGCAGAGGAAGGCTCTCAGATCCCCCTCGGAGTTGACACTAACGCTCTCTCTCCCTTTGTCTTTTCTCAGCATTTCTCAGAGAACCTGGATCACTTCTCTGACAACATGGAGGATTTCTCCAATGACCTGTTCAGCAGTTTCTTCGATGACCCAGTACTGGCTGAGAAGAACCCACTGCTGGACATGGACCTGGATCCACCCACTCCAGGCATCCAGGCAGAGCACAGCTATTCCCTCAGTGGAGACTCTGCTCCCCAGAGCCCCCTTGTGCCTGTCAAGGCTGAAGATAATACTAATGGTGAGCATGAGATATGCACGCTGCACAACTTTGGGCACATCTGTTAGCAGAGGCTCTGGCTGGCTTCCATGTGTAAGGACAAACTGGCTACTCCTTGGGCTTGCACGTGGCTAATCCGGGGAAGAATGTGATCTGCAGTTGTCAAATACAGCCTGTGTTTTTTCCTTCCATTTGTGCTTTGACAGTTACATTGCTCCTTTGCCGGGCTTACTGTTATTTATGAGGATGATAATTGGCTGTGGTTCGGTGTGCTGCCAGCTTCTGACAAGCAATAGACAATGTCTTTTTAGGATCCTGCAGACTTGGGTGTGGATGCCCTAGATCCAGCTCCATTTTGGCATCAGGCAGCAGGGTTTTGGCTTGAACATAGGAAGCATGAGTGCTGGTACATGTGGAAGGCTAAGTGGCTTCTTTACTGGCAGATTTTTTAGCAGGAGACAGAGAGGGACAGTAATTTCAAGACTTATTTTTAAAACAATTCATTTCAGCATAATTTATGATGGCTGGATATTTTTAGAGCCGTCCTTGCAGAGAGTCCTGTAATTTGTGGGACTGTGTGGGTGTCCCAACAGCTGATGGACACCGCGCTGCCTGAAAAAGCAGTGGCATAGGCTCAGTATACACAGAAGAAAGCCATTCCTTTGAGCAAGAGTGAGCCCTGGGACAGAGGCTTCCCTCTAATGGCCAGCAATGATCCCAGCTCTCTGGTACAAATGTCAAGGTAGGAGAAGAGGAGGCCGGCCTCCACTGCCTCTTTGGTCCCTTCAAAAGGCACAACTATCTGCCACATTCCTTAGGGGCAACTCAGAAAGGTGCTGGGAGAGAGGCTTATGGCAGGCCAAGCAGCTCTGCCTTAGTATCAAAAAAGCTTTCCACTTACATTTCTTCTTCCTTAGCTTTAACTCCAGTACAATCTTGGAGGGGGCAACTAAAAAAAAACCAAACCTGCACGAACAAATAAACACATCTTTATTTTACCCCTGAAAATGAATAAGAGGAGAAGAGACTTGGGAATGACAGTAGGAAAAAGGATAATTTGTGGAAAGCTCTGAAAATTAAGACTGCCTACATGAAGCTACCTCAGGGACTCCTCTCTGAGACACTTATTACCACTTCTGCTCCTCTCCTCTGTGTTTGGACATGCCTCTCCTTCAGCTGCTGTGTCTCAAAGGCAAGACTATGACTCTTGTGAATGGAGTGTGACACTGATACCCTTGGGCAGAGGCCAGCACAGAGTGTATAGCACTCAACTCAGGAGAGCTTGAGATGCACCTGGCACTTGCTCTCTTGAGAGTGCAGATCAGCTTTATACAGGAAGTAAGGCCTAATATTAATATGGCAGGTATAGGAGTATCTGTGCACCCAGTCCTGCAGCTCAGTAATTCAGCTCATCTTTCCAGGGCTTTCTTGGCTCATAATTGGATGTGAGTCATATTCTAGTGAAGCCCTGAGTCAGATCCAGTATTTACAACACTGTGCAGTCCTTTTGGCACAGTTCCATCCGGTCTCAGTCCTTTTAGACATTCATTTAAAATTAATTGTCCAGGAATGGCTTTTCTTTAACATTAAGCAAGCTCTGCTTGGTCTCCAGAGCTCCTCAGGAATGCCCCCACTCTGTCTAGGCTTGGAGCTGGCTGAGGCTTGCTATTAATCAGCTTTCTCCCAGCTTTTCTGCAGATCTCCAAAACTTTTCCAAATCCTGCCCCTTCCCACATGGTTCCCACAAACACAGGTCAGCTAGAGCAAGCCACTGGCTGCATTGTGACCCCTCTTATCAGCACAGTCTGCTTTCCAGATGGTTTGTGTATACGGACTGACTTCTTCAGTTGTCAGTACCGGCCCTCAGTTTTACAGGGTGTGATTTGATGCCAGGAGCAGGGGGAACCAGGGTTGTGCAGAACAGTGGGTGGTGGACCAGCCTCAGGCTAGTGCCAGCCCTCCTGTTCAAGTCCTGCTTCCTCATTGCTCTTTGCCTCACCTCCTCAACCCAGAGCAGCTACAGATATCTCTCAGCTGTACTTCTTCCTAATATGTACAGAGTATCTAGAGTAGAGAGGGAGCTTCCTGGGATGCCTCATCCACCAGCATATAGTGAAATCTGCAGTGGTTACAGACTGGCCAGGCCTCTGAAACATCCTCTCAGGCAGCAGAACACAGATGTGTCCACACAAGATGCCTCCTCCTCAATCCCTTATTGACCCTCTGATGGCCTATGTGTTTCTGATTAAGTAACCCAATCACTCCCCAGATAAATCTTAGAGGGTGGGAAAGAGAGCAGGGTCAGAATATAGACAGGAAATGGGAGGACAGCACATACTTATTTGGGTGTCTGTTCCTTAGCCTGTCTGGACTGACAGCACTGGGGGCTGCTCTCTCACTGAGTCAAGTCTCACTGGGGAGAGCTCTTGGTGGTCTGCTCTCCCTTTCTTCAGCAGCAGCTCCCACAGAGGGTGCCCCACACCTCTGAGAAAAAGAGGAATGCAGAGCTTTGCAACAGAAAGGCAAGATGAGGAAGACGAGGGTTCAAATTATAGTAAGGCAAAATGTTCCCATACTGGGCATAGTGAAACCATAGAAGAGTTTAAATGAGGGAAGCTGTGGATGCTTCATTGCCTTTCAGAGCAATAGGATCAAGTCAGACAACCATCTGTCAGGACTGACACAGATGTGGTTGAACTTGCCTAGAGCAATGGGATAGACCGGAAGATCTCTCAAGGTCCTTTATCTCTGTGACAGGCAGAAGTCAGTCCATGTTTTCTGGACACAAACACACATGGCTGTGTACCACCTTGCCTCCTTCCATCACAAAGGGTCTCTCTGCATACCAGAGGTATGCAGGGGGGGTTGTCTGCATATCAGGGGACTTCACTACCAGCTGCAGGTTTTGTGTCCTGTGCAGGACAGAGAAAACACAGTCCACTCTGTGTCTGCTCAGAAGTGTCTCCGTTGTTATGCCTGTGCAGTGCAGCCCTGCCTGAGACACTGCCTGATGACATTGGGCCTGCTGCATTGTGGGAAGCTCTAGGAAGTGATCTAGCAGCACTGAGAGCAGCACACACAGAGCAGCCACAGGAGCTGTGTCTGTGCTTGAAGATGTCCAGTCACAGAGGCAGCTGGAAGAAATGAGCATGTGCTAAGAGATACTTGTCTAGGCAGAAAATAAGAGGTGCTAGACCAAAGACAGGAAGATAACATATTCCATTGGCAAGGACAGCACTGTGTTAACTGATACAATCCTTGCCCAGGCTTTAACACCACTCTGTCTAAGCAAAAGCCAAAGGCAGGATTCTGCCCTGACATCTCCAAGAGGAAACAGAGGCTGAGTTGTTAAGGTACCTCTAAGTTTAGATCAGATGGCAGCTCCACATGAACAGCTGTTTGCTTGTACTCTTTGTGCAGGCTTTTCTGGACCTGAGAAGGACCTTTTCCCCCCTCTCCTCTTGCCAGGACATCTTCTGCACTGTGGCCTGCACTGCAGAGCTGCTGTGTGCAGCAGATAGCTAGGCAACCTCCCTAGGTCTGACTGAGAGTGCTGCATGCAGAGAGCAGTGCAGAGGGGTCAGAGAGTGAGTTGGACTATGGCCTCATGTGGAGGCAACTGGGGCACTATCTGGTGACACGCTTAGCAATAGTTTGTCCTGTGTCAAGCCAAATGTGTTTCTGGTTGTCAGATAAAAAGGGAAAGGCATGGGGATTAAGAAGGAGGGTGCAGTCTGTAGGCCATCCAGGAGTAGCTTTTTGGCAGGCTGAAGTGTTTGAAGAGCAAAGACCAAAACTTCAGAGCAGAGTCCAGGCAGCTTTCCTGCCTAGCACTCTTTTTTCCCATCTGAGCTGCAGTTTATCCGATGCTGCCTGAATCCCAGTTCCTGTGATCTCTACTTCCAGTGACAAGCCAGGCTCACTTCTCAAATGTGCACAGGACAGAGCAGGAAGGGAGCAAGTTCTCTTCAGACACTTCATTTCCCTCACTGCTGCTTCTTGTCCCTGCTAGCAATGGCAGCACAGCACAGCTGCAGGCAGCAGTTCTGCTGAGCAGTGCAGGGTGAAGGAGAGAGTCTCAGAGGTGAGACTGAGGGGACCAGCTGTGGAAGCAGCCTCACAAGCAGGAGCCACATTGGGCTTCCTTCCACAGAAATGGACCTTCCTCCTTTCTGTCAGGCAAAAAAGCCCATCATCCAAATGATGGCCCAACATCATTGGAGGCCAAAGCAGCACTGTCAGCCTTTTACTGTCATCATGCTTGCCCTCTCACCAGCTTTCTAGCACAGAGATGGTGTTATTCTTGGTAACACACCTGGCAGCTCTGTGATGCTGGCCATGCTGCCTCAGGAGCAACAGCCCAGCATCCTCCTCTCACTGAGCCCTAAATATAAATAAGCTCCAGAGGATGAGACATAGACATTACTAGGGGAAGAAACCCTGCAGCTGTCCTCCAGAGCTCGGGCTGCACAGTCAGAGCACAGCAGAGATACAATTCCTCTAGCTCTGTCCTGTCTGCTCCCCACACGCTGGGGGTTCACTCCCTTTTGTACTCTGTGTTGTGGGCCTGCACATGCTTGTGTGATTACAGTGCTAAACTTGGAAAGACAGCCTCCTCAGTCAGGGGGAAGCTGTCTGCACGGCTTTTTTTTTCCTTGCCCTGTTCTTGCTAGAGTTTGACTCTCACGTTGTGCATGTTTCAGAGCTGGAGAATGGAGTGTGGTCGCTGGGGCCCAAGCTCTGCTCCATCATGGTGAAACAGGAACAGAACCTGGCTCTAGACCTGCCTGAGTCCCAGCTAGCTGCCAGCTCCATACCAGTGCTGAACCTCAACCCTCTGCAGAGACTGCCAGTCCCCGAGGAGGTGAGCCCATATAAGATCCATTGGGAACCTGGGCTCTCACACAGCGACACCCTTGGTGATGCAGACTCAGCCATGTGACTGCAGGGTCCTGCAAGGTGATTTAGCTGCTGGACAGAGAGGAGAAGGTGATACAAAGCCCAGATACTGCATTATTTGTCATTCTCCTCTTGAAATGGCAGTCAGAGGAGCAGCATTCCTGATGTTGGCTAGAACCGTTCTTGATTTCTGCAGTGTAGCTAGAAGACAGCTTGTCCTTCCAGAGAAAGTGGTGAAATGAGGATTTTTTCCAGCAGAGGAGGCTTTGCAATCTTGGTTAAATATAAGCCCAGTTCCTTGGCATAAAAGCCAAAGGCTTTAAGCTTGCACCTGATGGAGATCTGTCCCCTCCAATCTGCCAGTATTTCGATAGCCACTCTTGGCTTATTTTCATTTTTCAGAAAACAGTGTAAAGTAGTGCGGTGCCAGTGACCCCATTATTCCTGAGTATAGACCCCTCCTCTGCTGCTGACTTTTGGACTTGTCACTTGGCCTCTCACTTTTTGTAACTGCTCACTGGAAGTGGAGGTTCCACTCCAGGTCCTGCTTGCTTTTTCCTATGAAGCAGCAGGAATTATTATTTCTATGAAACAAGGGGCCAACTCTTTTTTTCATATACAGGTTTTTAAGAAATCTGTTTGTCTGAAGGAGGTACAGTTATGCCACTGGCATCTGGGTGTAAGTCAAGGGCTCAGTTTGGCTGGCCTTGAGTCCAGCTGTGTTCATGAGAAGGTCTGATCAGTCTCACACAGACCTTGCCTATCCTGAAGCAGCTCAGTAGATAACAGTAGAGCATCTCTGGGGTTCACTTCCTTTTTTCACTCATGCTGATCATCTTCCCATTTAAGCAGCCATCCAAAACAAATGGTTTTTTCCAGCCAAAACTGTGCACAAACTTCCTCTATTATTTACACAGCTTGAACTTGCTGTGCCCTCAAAGCTCTGCTGTGTGCTTAGCAGCCATTCCATGGTCTTCTCTCAGCTGTGTTTACAGTCTGGAGGAGTTTGAAATGTGTCTGTTTAGTGTAAAAACTCCAACCTATGGTGGGCAGGGGGCTGGCAAGCAAGGGAGCTGAAGGGCAGCATAACCCAGATGGGAATAAATCTACTCTTTATTCAACTCTCAGTCCCCTCCGATTGGAAACAGTTGACCAGTGGCCTTCGGGAAAATCATGTGAGCAGGACAGGGTTGTTGTTCTGTTTCTGTTCTGTATGACCTCTGTATTCCCATTTATAATAAAGGCAGATCAAAGAGGGACTTTGCATGGTAACACACAGGTTGGTTTAAATTACACTGTCTGGGTCTATCAAAATAATTGCCAAGGATAAAAGTCATCTCCCTTTTGGAGGTACTCAGCTCAGTGCATTGCTTGGCAGCACAAGCATCTTCCTCTGCCTTTTCCTCTGCAAACATATTTGCACTCTGTGTGCCCAGCAACTGAGACTTCAGAGGCTTATGTTTGAACTCTTGGTTTCCTTTATGTGTGGTGAGAGGCTGCTTTGGAGCAGAGCTGTGAGGTGGGGCAAGACAGGCAGCAGGGGAGCAGTGACTGTGAACAGAACTGGTGGGAGCCTTTTGGGCAGGGGAGGTGAGGTGTTTGGCAGTGCCCAAAAGCTCTTTCTGCTTCTTTTCCACAGATTCCCATAGAAATGACTCCAGCACCTGTGATCAAAGCTGAACCCAAAGAGGTGAATCAGTTTCTAAATGTTCCTACAGGTAAGAAGATAGAATTTCCTGGTCAACTATATTACTCAGATATGGATGGTTATTATTTAGGGAGAAAAGACAACACCTGAGGTCAGAGCCATGCATACAAGGTAGCGTTGGGGCACAGAATAATAGAGGAGTGAGCACTGCACTGTTCCAATGCAGATCAGTGTCTGGACCAGCAGCCACACACAGAAATTGTTCAGACAGGGACTCCCAGGCAAAACAGGCTAATTCAGAGTTGGAAATATGCAAGAGTGCCTTTAAAATCCTCAGAGAGACCGTAGAGTTATCCAAAAATAACCATCTGAAAGTCAGGAAATTCAGGATCCAGTTTAATTTGAAAGAAACCCAAGCATCTGAAAATCTGCCGATGCACAAATGAAAGCACTATAGGAACTCCCACTACCGCAGAGAGACATTCCTTAGGCATATTCCCACTTCCATGAAGGCCCCCAGGGCTCTCCAGTACAAAGTGGGGACAGTTTTCAAGTGCTTGGAAATTAACTGAGTGACCGGAGCCCCTTTGGATCAAGTGTGTGTCAAGTGTGTGAGCCCAGCAGTGCTTTTGGAAGAGCTTTTCTCTCACAGAGCTTCCTGTACTTGTGAACATCATGGGCTTTGTACTTCATTTTGGTTGAACTGGAATACCTTATTGTTTTGTAAATACCTTCAGTGTCTTGGCAAAGCCCTTACCAACTCTCCTGCAGTTCCTAGTTTAGCACATTTGAGGTCAGTCTCACTTCTGTCTTGGGCAGTGCTCAGTCCATCCTGGTTCTCAGACCCACCCCATCTTGTGAAACTCATCACCCTCTCCTTTCTTCTACCCTCTCCTATGCCTCTACCAACAGGCTGACATGAGAGCCATTGACTTGACCTCCTTATTTCTCAGTAGATGACCTGGTGCAGATGCCTCCAACTCCACCCAGCAGCCATGGCAGTGACAGTGATGGATCTCAGAGCCCTCGGTCCCTGCCTCCCTCCAGCCCAGCCCGGCCTGCTGCTCGCTCTTCTACTGCCATCTCCTCCTCACCTCTCCTCACAGCACCACACGTAAGGAGGCAGCAGGACATCACTGGGACACAGGGCTCCTTGGTGCTCAGAGGGATTTGGAGGCTTTCCAAGGCTCACGTAGGGGATCCTGCTCTTGTTATGGTCTCCAAGCTGCAATGCTCTGGCAAAGCAATGTGATGTCTTAGCACGGGGATGTGGGGACAGGATGGTGAGGAGTGAGGAGAGGCACAGTGAGTCTTGCATAATACCTACCATCAGCTACCTTGTTTTAGCAGGTACTGTCTTTCACCCCCGACCTTGGGAAATGGCCTATGCACTAGAGGACTTTCTGAGGAGGTTAATGGGAGAGAAAGGAATTACTGAGAATTCCCGTAACCAGACCATTTTATCCATTGCCCAAAAGTTCTTTGGCAGGGTCCTGCAGTAGAATTGTGTAGCCAGCTTCACCACAAAAGAGCAGATCCCCTCCCAAGTAAAAGAGGAAAAGAGCTGCTGAGCTGTGTCCCCATGATCAGGTTGAGAGCAAAAAAAAGCACTGTCCTGCACCTATTTAGTATCAGTGGGAAGCAGTGTATTCTTTTCTGATGTATACAGCCTCTGGATGCTCTGCAAGGCTTTAAAGAGGATCACTGGGATAGAACTCCTTGCTGGCACTGATGAATGCTCTGTGTGTGTTTCAGAAGTTACAAGGAACCTCTGGCCCGCTGCTCTTGACTGAAGAGGAGAAGCGCACCTTGATTGCCGAGGGTTACCCCATTCCTACCAAGCTGCCCCTCACCAAAGCAGAGGAGAAAGCACTGAAGAGAGTCAGGAGGAAAATCAAGAACAAGGTGACTGCAAAAAATGTAATCATGCAGTTCCCATGATTCCAGAGCATCCTCAGCTGACCAGTGCTATAGTTACCCTCACCTCCTCAGCTGCACTGCAGCTCAGAAAAGGTGGGATCCTGCCTTTGGTACATTACCACGAGCCTCCCAACCCACAAAAATGGTGCCATGGGTCATCTCTGCATGCTTGCTCTGCATACAGCCATATCCGGGAAGTATGGCTTCCAGCCCAGCTCCTGGGAATGTGTGGCCTTCATAGGGCCCACAGGCCAAGGCATCACAGATCAGACTAACTGGCCTGGTCAGTTCCCTTGCTGGTGGAGGCAGGGAAACCAGAGCTATTGCATGAGGCAGGATGGGTGATGCACAGAGCTCATGAGCCAGGCAGAGGCTCTGAGACTTTATACTGGTATAGGAAAGCATCCCGTGGGAGAAATGGTGAGAGCCTGAATTAATCACCAGGTGACTCATAAGTGATCTGGGGCAGAATCAGCCCAGATGACCACAGCACATACCCATGTGAGTCAGAGGAGTTCAAAGCAACCCTAAAGATGCTTTCAGCAGTGAGGGACATAATGCAACAAATGGTTGTGGCCTATAGGCCAAGAAAGGCTGCATACCTACAGCATCCATCCCTCCCAGTTTTGGCCTGGAGACCAGTAGGAATGACAGACTGGAAGGCGACTTCCCCATTTAGAGTACTGTGTGTGCAGGGAACAGACAAGATGCATGAGCCACAAAATGTCCAGACGTTTATGATGTTGATTCCTCTCTGATGGCTCACTTCCCTCCCAGATCTCTGCTCAGGAGAGTCGCAGGAAGAAGAAAGAGTATGTGGAGTGTCTAGAGAAAAAGTAAGTTTCTTCTTCTCGGTCTTATCTTTAAAAAAAAGGAATCCTGTCCATGCACAGTCTTCCTTTCTAGTGTTTTGTGAATTGCTAAGAAAGTATGATTTCTTGCAAGGCTGGCTGCACAGGAGTTTGGTTTGGGATCCTGCCCCTATTCCCCTCCTTCCTAGAAACCTTCTTGTGGGATAAAGATTGCTCAAGAAATTTTGTTTCCAACTGCTTAGTTTGGCTGGTCCCCTGCAAAACACAGGCCATTTTGGCTGCCAACAAGGTGGGATTTTGGGTAAGAGTCCTGTTTCCCCACTAGAAGTTGTTTCTGTTTTTTTTGTCCCACAAGCAGTGGGCTCTCTGAGAGTGCTACCCATGGCTTTTTCCCCCTCTCTTCCCATGAAGGCGGACACACAAGCACTTGACAGCAAGAAAAACCTTGCACTACAGTTATTCCCCACACTCACTCCCCTTCCACTCTCTGCATTAGCTTTGTTTTTCTCCTTGCAACCCTGAGGTCCTGCATGTATAGCAGGCATAAGCTTATGGTGACATCACATAACACTGACAGGGTAGAAAATAACTTCTGTACTAGCAACCCCTAATGGGCATTCCCATAATGGGCAAAGAAGAATGCTAGGATCCAGGAGCAAATTCATGTTTCTGTATAAATACTATCTTCTTCTCAGTTCCTAACACCATCTGAGATCAGCAAATGGAAAAAAACAACCCCCAAACCTGACCTTAATTAACTCTTCTTCCTGACGCTACCTGTTTATCTTCTCTAGTTGCACAGAAATGCTGAATTAAAACAGATGACTTGAGGCATCTTCAGGTTCTCACGGAGCATCTCAGTGTGCATATGTGTGTCCAGGCATCAGAGCACATAATCTCCAGCTAGTGTCCCACATTGACACCCAGATCCTTCACCCAGATCCTTCAAGCTGGAGCTGGGGAGTTGGCTGGCCTTGCTTAAGGGACAAGTCCAGGGCGTTTGGTGCTGGGGCCTGTTTCCCAGCTGTGGCCGTGCGTGGTGCCTGTATGTACTCAGCAGTTTGTTGCGCTGGAGCATTGCTATGACAGATGGCTTTCAAACAATGCCAGGTTTAAATGTGAACCAAAAGCAGCATTCAGTGATTTTTTTTTAATGGAACATGTCTTTGGTCAGCTTGGCTTTCTGTAAAAGCTGGTTAGTCAGAACCTGTAATTGGGCTCTTCACCATTCAGTTTGACACTTTTGCTGCAAGCCCAATTTTTGCACGGAACGCCTAGTTCAGAGGCTGTCCTGGAAGCCTCCGTCAGGATCAGGCTGTGTCCCTGGCCTGCCTTCCTCCGGGCTGGAGGCATTCCCCTTCCCTTGTCCCAGCTGCAGCCCAACCACGCAGTTGGGAAGCCGTAGGAGGGAGCCTGCAGGTTCTCTGCTGCCCTCAAGTGTCTGCAGTCGTAACTGGCCCAGCGTTTGCACGGAGTAGCCTGGATTTCACAGCCAGGGTGCACAGCCAGGGCAGGTTCTCAGTCTGAGTGGGAGAGGTTTTACTTTGTCCTCCTCCTCCTTTTTCATGCTTCTTAGGGGGATTTGGAAGTGATGGAAATGTCTGTGTAACTTTGGGTCTATCCTGACTTGATCTGCCTGTAACCAAATGTTACTGTCTCTCCCAAACCTCGGGAAACCCTGAACTATCACACTTAACTGTTCACTTGCAGTCTCATCCCTGCTCCATCAGGGCTGGTAGCAACATTGGGCCAGTAACATTTGACTTCAGGGCCATATCTGCAGGTGATGGATGAGGCTACTGAGCCTCCACATCCCAAGAGAGGCAAGCACTACATTCTTGATATGTCTGGCCTTTGTAACTAACTGGCTTATGCATTTTATTCCCATAGGGTCGAGACATACACAACAGAAAACAATGAACTCTGGAAAAAAGTGGAGACCTTAGAAAATGCAAACAGGTAAGAGGAGCTAGACCTGACCCTCCATGGGTAGGGCAGGGTGAGCAGGAAGGGAAGTCAGGGAGTGCTGGGGCAGAGGGCTGAGAAGAGAAAGGCAGGCTGTCCCAGCTCCTGGTGGATGGGTGCTGCTCAGCAAGGCACTGGTTTTCAGCCTGTGACAGCAATGAGGCAGCTGGGTTTGGTTAGCAAGCCTGGAATGTTTGTGTTGGGATGACCAGGCCACGCCGCAGCAAGGGGAGGGAGGGAAGGCCTTTCCCATATCCCTTATATTTTCCTCCTTCTCCTTGCAGCCCTTTGGGCTCATGCTGCCTTCCACATTGCCGTCCAGGTCTCTGGCTGTCTCCAGGACAGATGGATCAAGGGAGTCCTCTCACACCAGCCTCTCAGACCCATTGTTTCTGCTTTTGGGCTCTTTGGAGGAATACAAGGCCCTGGACATATTGTGGCTGTTTCAGGTTTCTCTTGAGAAAGCTGAACAGACTTGGTGAATACAGGGAAAGGCCCTTCCTCTAATAAAGATAGCTCCAACCAAATCTAGGGTAATTCCTTGTGCATATGGTGTTCCATATATGCAGAGCTGGCCAACTGATCACCAGGGGAATTTTCTTCCTTGGAAGCAAATATGAAGACTCCCACCCCTGCAGTGGGGATGGGCAGCAGGAGCTGGAGAAGGGCCCAAATCTGCTCGCTATTACTGGGTGCAGCAGGTGTGAGCAAGGACAGGGTCAAGTGCAGGGCTGGTGAAGGGGATGCTCATTTTTGTAGCCCCATTTATATCAACTCGAAGAGGAGAACCACAGCCAGAGAGCCAGTTCCTCATCCACTCCTCTGCTGCCATTACAGCTCATGGAGAACTCCTAGCGCCTCTACCGCATTCCTTCCTCCCATCCATGACATGAGTGCTGTGGCATTGGCTTCCAGGGGAGCCACTGGTGCCAGGACTGGAGGCTGTCAGGTGTGGTCTGGCAGAGGTGTGCAAGAGCCAGAGGTCTCCCATCTGCCAGAGATACAGCTGCCCAGCTGCTCTCATGCATTAGGCACAACTTGCCCCCTGGCCTCTCTGGGAGTGTGGGCAGCCCTGCTGCTGAAAAAGCATTAGCCCCACCCTGAAAAATCAGGAGATTGGCCTAAAAACCGGGAGATTTTTTTTTCAAAATACACATTGTGTTCTTTCTAATTGGATTTGGTTTTTGAGCACTGCCAGTGGGACACTGTGTGCTTCTCTCCACGTGTACAAGTAGCTGAAGAGGATTTGGAAAGAGATAAAGCTGGGATTCTCCTGCAATCACCTGGCTCTAGGACCTGGCATTTCATAAAAGTTCAAACAGACTTGTGTAAAACAGTCAGTGCTCCCCCAGGAAAACTCAGCAGTAGTCTGCATTTCAGTAATTTGCAGCTGTTGGGAACTGTGTGCTTTGTAGTCTCCCTTATTCCAGATTCCTTTACCAGCTCAGTGAAGGGTTCAGTAGCTCTTGGTAACACTTACCACTGTTTTATGTTTATGTGTGTGGATGCCCATGAACAGTTAAATGGGGCAGAGAGACCTTAGTACATGTTCCAACCAGAGCAGCCAGAGAATGATTAATTGCTGAACTCAAGATTTGGCTTTGCCCATATTCCTCTGCAGAGTTTGCCAAGACTGAATAAATTGGAGTGGATCACAACTGTTTCTTATTTCTCTCTCTACCTCATGCTTTGGAGCTTCAGAGTGTGTCAGTGAGTGAAGTGGGAGCAGACAAGTCTGTGCCAAAGGCCTGAGCTGTCTACAAAGCTCAGTCACCGTCCCAGAGCCTGGTTTTCATGGTACCCTGGCCCTCCACTGCTCTGGGAGTTGACAGGCTGGGCTTTGAGGCAGCCAGGAGTCCTAAATGAATGAGACATTCACAGCAATGGGTAGGTGCAGTGAAGGTGGTGGTGGATCTGCTGGTGAGATCTTTTTCTGTCTCTCACTTCCCAAGTCTGTTTGTTCAGAGAACTTGGGCAAGATACAGCAAAGGGGAGATACTTGTTTTCAGAAGGAGGAAAAATCAAGATAAAATATGAAGAGAGTAGTGATAGTCTTGCCTCGCTCACTGGCTGCTGCCTCCTTATCAAGTTTTGATATGCGTTCTTTCCTATCACAGGACTCTGCTCCAGCAGTTACAGAAGCTGCAGGCTCTGGTAGCTGGGAAAGTCTCCAGACCTTATAAAATGGCTTCCACGCAGACCGGGACCTGCCTAATGGTATAAGCTTCATTTCCATATTCCTTATTGGCCATGCTTCTCCAGACAGCTTTGTAGATTGCCTCTGCCTTTTTCCCTGCTGCCCTGCTGTGTTGCCAGTTACATCTGCTCTCTCCTTTTGTATTATAGTCACCAGAACTGGGCCCTGGGTCATACATACATTGGTATTGTCAGTTGTTTATGCAGAAACATTAGAATAATTCCTGCATTTTCACTGTCTTGTTCTTTGGGCAAAATGGCACTTTGTTTGCCTTTCATTAGGTATCAGCCATTCAGAAAAAATCTTCAATGAGCTTCCATTGTAGTGGGTAGAGTTTTCTTTTGCTGAGTTGGTAATGCTTAATGTTTAACTCAGCAAGGTGGACAAACAGTCCAAGTATTCATCCCAGTGGGCATTACCTTGTGTTTATTAGCAAGAAATGGCATGTTCTGCTATGCCTGCACATCAGGCTTTGTTAAATCCAGCTGGAATTCTCTTTGTTTGCCCTTTTGACTAACCAAAATTAATCAGGGTTGTCTGTTATTTTGGTAATCCCTGTTTACCTCTCATTTCTCCTAGTGGAGGATCATGGTTAAATAATATTGGCTTCACTGAGGAGTTTTAGGACATGCCACTGTGTAGCCATAAATAGAGTCATTTGCTTATTCTTCATCTCAGTTTTGGCTGGGGGAAATTTTCTGATCCATGGTAAAAATATAACCTTCACCCTTGTGATGTCTTTGCAGGATTGTCATAGTAGCTGGTCATGACAAATTTGTCAGAGTTAGTTATCTTTATCTGGTAATCGCTTTTGTACTGCTAACAGTCACGAAAAGCAGACAGATGGTGAGAAGCTTGCCCCATTTTCTCAGTATCCTCAGTGTCCTGAGGGATTGTTTCTTGCTCTTGGTTCAGTTTCCATAGTTCCAGAGCCCCTGCTCTATAATTTCCAGCACTTTCAAAATCTGCTCAAGCTTTTGGTACTCTTTGCTGCCCCCATGTCAGACCAGATTTTAATGACTGTCTTTTCTTTTTGCTGCTTTACGTCTTCATTCTCGAGTTCTTTCCACATTTTCAGGTGTGACCTACCTGAGCCCAGTGGCTTATTGGTCCTTAATGCAGCATTTCATCAGAATATCCCTGGCTGCAGCAAATCTTCAATGCTACTACCTGGAATAAGCAAGTCCAGAAGAGGTGCCAGTTATCCCCTGTGCTACAGACTGATAAAATACCTAATTTAGCGTCCCAACAATGTCTTATCTCTCCTTGCTGCTCCCTTCATTCCAGGCATCCCAGCCCACACACCAACTCTCTCAGGCTTCCTAGCTTCCAAGCATTTCAAGAATTTGTAATTTGCTTTTCTATCTTTGGCCAGTTCCTCTCTTAAGCCTCCTAGTTCCCATTTTCCATTTTCAAATACAGCACTTTTTATCACAAAAGATATGTAGAATCATCATGCCTTGCAGCATAGGAGTGGAACAGACTACCCTTCTTCTTTAGTTCTGTGTCATTCCTGCTGGATGTTTGTACAGCCAGTTCTTGAAGGCCTCCAGTGGTAAGCAGTACTCAGCCTCCCAGGGCAAACCATTTCAGTACTATGTTATCTTTTCCAGATAAAGCTTTCTTGCTATTTCATCTCAATCTCCCTTGCAACAGCTTAAGCCTATTAGAACTTCTTCTGCCCAAGCAAGATCTGTTTACTCCCCCTTTGTGCATCTGCATTTTACATATTGGAAAACTCTTGTTTTTGAGCAACTCCCTTCAGTCTGCTCTGCTAAATCACTATGATTTCTTCAGTCTTCCCTTGTAGGCTGAATTACTGAATCACTGCTTGTTCCCAGAGCTCTATTCCAGACTTTCTTCAGTGACCCTGCATCTTTTTGGAAGTATGGGGCCCAAAGCTGTACACAGTGTTCCACCTGAAGGCCAGTACAGATCCAGCCAGGAAGTCTATTCATTGGCTGTGATTTGCCTTTTGCAAAGTGACACCGATTTGGGCCTGTCTTGTGCTCCATTTTAACTTCCAGATCTTCTTCTCTAGAACAGCTGAAACATGTAGTCACTGATGTGTTTCCTCTGTTAATCAGTCCTGCCACCTTGGAGGTTTCAGCAGGTCTCCACATTTGTCTGTATAGATCTTCCCACTGTTCTCTTGGACCACTTCTTCCCATGATCAAGATAATTCTGAATTTGAATATTGACCAAAAGCCAGTCTGCTTTGTAGTCTTTCCCATCTGCAGATTTCATACAGTCCATCGTTCAAGTAAAGCTTAAAAATGCTGAATCTTGCCAGATCCATAACAGATCTCTCTGCTACTCCATCTGCTACTTCCTCACAGTTTGACAGTGAACCATTTGATAAATACACTCTCAGTATGTCTTTTTTTGATTAATTTTTCCTCCACTTTTCCAACTGGTTTTGAAGTAGTTTTCTCTAGCTTGATTTCCCTCACTTTTAAGAGGTCGAGTAATGAGATGGTCAAAAGCTGTGAGATGAATTGTACTCAGAGTCAAAACACAAGTTATTGTTATGAAGTGTTGTAGAGTTTGAACCGGAACTGAATCAGAGCATCAGAGTTAACCTGAAACAAAACAGAGCAAAAACAATGCTGTTTTGCAAAGCCCCAGTTGAAAGCCATGTTAAAGCAAGATGTTAAGTATACTGCTCTTTCCCAGCTCAAAAACCTGTTTTGTTTTAGAAGGGAAGAACAGACTTCATAGGGCTGGCTCCCTTTTCTGCAAGTTGTGTGTTTGGCTGTGATAATTCCAAGCAACATTTATTCATAATTTTTTTTTCTCTGTTTTTGTGGAATAAGGATTCTAAATGCCTTGTATGCCTGATATGATGTACTTAGACAGCATCTGTGCTGTCTATGTTTAATGTCCTTCCTTAAAACCAGCCATGAAGAGTCTGGACAATTAAAATCCCTCTTTACATAGTGCAGTATCCTCGTGTTATTATTCTATCTTCCATATCTCCTGGAATCCACTGGTGGTCAAAATTACCTTGATGTACCAGCTTCTGTGCATTAATTAGGCACAGCTATTCTGAAATAGGTGAACTTCTGAAAAGCAGTCAAGCAATTGCTGGCTGTGCCCACAGGTGTCCCCCCAGGTCAAACTTAGCTAGTATATACATAGGTAGTAGAAATCACCAACAGATGCATTGCCTCTTTGGCTGCTAAGTCTGAGTACTGAGCTGGTGGCATGGGTGTTCAGGTAATAAGCATTTGGCTCTGTACCATTTCCCCTATGTCCCTTCTTGCTCTTTACTGACAGTTCTAAGCTCTATAGAGGCTCTTAAAATCAGCACTGGCATCTCACTCTGAAGCTTTACAGTTACAACAGAATTTCCAGACAGGTCCAGACCTACCTGAGGGGCATTTCCAGGGAGATTTCGTATGCCTTTCTCCTGTTGAGCTAGTAGCTCTGACTGGTGTGCCTGACAGCAGAAGGTCTTGCACACATAGTCCTGCATACCTACATGTCAAGCATAAATTTAACCCTTTCATTGGACTCAGCATCTTTACTATCAGGTATTAGGCAACTGTAATTCTGCCGTCATTTCTGTCCTCGCATGGATAGTAGCTTCACCTTGCTATGTCCTGTGGTACCTCACAGATTTCTCCAAGTGAGCTTGTTTTCTTTACAGCTCACAATAGCTCCTGCTGAGCCAACGGTCAGGTTCCCTTTGGTCAAGGCAGAGTTTGTCCCTTCTGTTAAGTCTCATTCTTTCTCAGCTTGTTTCTCAGCTACACCTTCCGCTATCTCTTCTCAACTGGATGGACAAGTTCTCACTATTGAACCAGAAATACTCCAAATAAAGCAACAAGAGGAAGTTTCTGACTTCCCTTCTTAGATTTGAGGCAGAGATTAGAACAGCAAGTCCCTTCCCATCCTGGGGGACCACAGGTACCCAGTTGTCAGCCTGATCAGATCTTCTTACACAGCCACATGTTTGTGTGCTGTGGAGGGGAATGGTTCTTCATGGCATTTCTTCAGCGGCACTGACTCTGTGCTGATCTCTTCTCTAGGTGCTGGCACTCTGCTTCGTTCTGATCCTGGGATCCCTGATGCCCTGTCTCCCTGAGTTCTCCTCAGCATCACAGACAGTGAAAGCAACACCAGCACCAGACATTTACACAACTAGTAAGAGTGAGTCTAATGTGGTTCCTCCATTTGAACTTGTCAAACCATTTCTGGCTCTGCTCTCAACAGTCCCTGCTCAGGCAATAGCATCCTCCCCTCTGTGCCTATCCCATATGCTGGGGCTGTGGTGAGGGAAGATTCCTAATCTGTCAGTGGTAAAAACTCTGTTGGGGCCTGTTGTCATTCCATGCTAACTGCTGTCCTAAAACATGGCAAGTGTCAAAGGAAGGAATATGAGGGAATAGTCCCAGGGCAGACTGGTAGTATTCTGAAGAGGCTATGTGTCCAGGAGTCTGTCTTCATTTGCCTCCTGAAGCTGGGGGGGGAGGAGGGTATCCTGCACAGTTAGACATGGACAAGTCTGGGTGAGCATGTGCTGAAACCACTGTCATGACCCATACCCATTGCAAGAGACCTTATCGTCATTGTTAACCAATGCTCTCCTTTTTTCCAGTTCAGTCACGGAGCCTTCTTTTCTATGATGAGGGTGCTGGCTCCTTAGAAGAGAGCTATAGCTCCTTCCTAACCATGGACCATCCTGAGGGGTGGGAGGCTGAAAAAAGGCAATCTGAGGAGGGAAGGCCTCATCTGGCCAGGACACATGAGACAGCCAAATATCTGAGCAAAACCCAGCTGGAGGGTCCCGACCAGAACCGAACTGACACAACTCTCACCCACCTCAAAGAGCAATTCCATGAGAGGTAAGCACATGGGGCCACCTTCTGAGCCCAAAATACAGCATGGCATATGGGAGTAAGCAGCAGGCATGTCTGTCCCCTCTGCTGCAAGCTAAGGACAGCTGAGCCACCTGGGGCAGGCAATCAGCTAAGAGCAGTGGCTGAAGGAGGCCGGTGCTGGCAGAGAGCATAAGAACAAGTTTATTTTCTAGAGCAAAAGTTTGAGACTTCATAAAGCAGTGTCCCACTAGCATAGAGCTGCAGAGGGATGGATGACTCGGGTGGTCCCAGGTTTGCATTCCATTCAGTGACCTGATGAAGGAGTTCATCCTGATCAGAGCAAACTAGTTGGGCACACAGAAAGGTGAATTTGGATAGGAGGCTGCAATGAACCTTGACTGATGCTTTGTCTTTTCTTTCCCTCAGGGAGACAAGCTCCAGTGAGACAACTGAATTCTTGTAGCAGCTGCTGGACCTCAAGGCCTCATTTGTCAGATTGCAGGATTCCCTCCTCACCAAGCAACTGAGGGGACTTGGCAGGAGAGGACACTGCATTCAGACACTAGTAAACTGGCCTTGGGTTCAGCTCCTCCCCTTCCCCATTCTTCCCATTAGTAATGATCTCTCTAAGGGCTGTCACAGGACTGCCAGAACCAGCAGTAGATCTCTGGAGAAGCCCTGGACACCCTCTTCTCCTGGCCTTACCTTCTGCTTAAGTGAGCACTACCCTATGGATGTGGGCTCACCTTGAAGTGGAGGGAGATCAGGGGAAGCCCCCAAACTACTCAGCTCACTCCCCAAAGCCTCCAGACCCAGGGGGCTGTCCCCAGCTCTGTACCCCTTGGCTACATCAGATGCACCTGAAGGAGAGAGAGAGAGAGTGTTGGATTTACTGTCCTGCCTGGGAGACTTAGAGGTGGGTGATGCTGGTGCTGGAGAGATGGCTCTGGAGAGTTTGAGCTCATTCCTTACCCTCCATCAGTTAGTATATTTCTCCTTCCATTGAGAGAAAACCTAGTTCTTCCTTGCTCTAGTTTTCTCTTGATGGACATGCCTACGTAATTTCAACGCCAAATATCTGCAAAAATCTGCACACAAACGGAGTGGGGGAGACAGATCCCAGACAGATAAATCACCATAAAAATTAGCCAGCAGCTTCTAGACAACCAGAGCTCTGAAATAGATAACAATTTTCCCCCACAACCCATTTCTCCCCACCCTCAGCACCCCTGCTTTGGCAGGAGTGATATTTCTCCATCTGTTCCCAACTTGGGCCCTACAGTGCAGTGCTAACCAGGTCAGTGGTCTTCTCACTTTCCATTCTGGAGGCATTTCCTTTGAGAGTGAGTGAAACACATTCCTATAATCTGACCCTCATCCCAGCTCTCCATCCCCAATTTGGCCTCATGACTCCATGAAATGGAGTCTTTCTATGAACCACCAAGGAAGGCTCTGAAACCCATTGGAGGTCTGTCAGATTAGCCATCGTTCCCCTCACATCCTCCGTGTTTACACAACACATAGTGTTGTGAAAACCGCTGAGGACATACTGGCATTTCTGGAGACAGGTACATCTGTCAGGAAAGGGGTGGCATGTTGGAATTGGCCAGGGTAACGAAAGGCAGTTTTAGACCTCTTCCTTCTAAGTACTGACACCAAAGGTAGCAAACGCTTGTCATACCATCCCTCAGGCCAGACTTGCCAATTTTGGTGTTGAAGTGACCTCATCTCAAGCCTGTGCCATCCTTTTTAGCACCCAGACACTCATTTCTGATCCTTCTCCCTCCCCATCAAAAGCCCTGTAGAAAGGCTCAAGTGTCTCCTCGCTCCATTCCCTCAGCTGCCATTTGATGAAAGGACAACATGGGACATGAGTGTTGGAGATCTGCGATGTGCCAGGTTGCCCCATGTTTTAACATGGGAGTCCCTGCACACTCTGTCAGGTCTCACAGCAGGTTCCTCTTCCACTTGCTTCTCATCAAGCACCCTGGCCTCACTCTGCACTGCCCCAGCCTCTCCTCTTCACCCAGTCTGGGAGTGGAGAAGGCCCCTTGGAGAGGAAGGATGGGATGGCTCTTGCTCAATGAATAGGAGAAGCGAGGGAAGGGCCCTCATATCCTTCTTTTCTACCTTTTGAAAATTGGTTTTACCCCCAAAGCCATTTAGGAAAAATTTGGACACAGCTAGCTGCAGCCATACCTGCGTGGCCAGTGGGGTGAGGAAGAAGGTGGCTTTCAGCATAGCTCTTCTCAAGGTCACCAGATACCACTGCATTTCCCAACCTCCACCTTCACTCCAGCACAAAGAACCACTGCCGGGTCCAAGCACGCCTTCCTCCACCCCAGCACTTCCACTGAGCATGTCCCCATGCCTCTCACTCCCACCGTTGTACAGAGACCAAGAGCAGAACTCGTTTGTACATAATGAACCTTATTTTGTATTATTGCCGATCCCTTAAGATATTGTATTTTGGAGACTCTCAGATCCTATTTTCAGTATTGTATTTTATTAAGAATTAGTGCGGGCTTGGCATCTATGAACTTCTTGTAGCAGCTCACTTTCCACTTATACTCCAGCAGCTGCCTCTTCCCTCCTCTTTGGTTGGTTTTTTTTTTGGTTGGTTGGTGGGTTTTTGGGGGGGTTTTTTTAGTTGTTTTTGGTTTTGGTTTTTTCCAAGCTACCTTTTCTCCTCCTCCTATCACTTGCTCTGCATTTGCTTTGTGAAGCAAAATAAAAATAAAATAAAAAGTTGCAGCATCAATCCTGGGTTGACAGGTCCTTTCATTGAGGCATGGTCAAGCCAGCCCACATGCACAGCTCCTCACTTCCTGCTCCCTGTTCTATTCCCAGGCCACGTGCAGAATTGCTTCAGTACTGGGACCCCATGCTCAGTGTTGGGGGCTAAGAAGCTAACTTGCATGTTTTATTTCCAGCAGCACTGTCATTTCTTCTGCAGTTCTGAACAAGTCAGAACTGTTCTGTCTCAGTTCCTTTCCCCCCCTCAAAATACCACTATCATCCTCTTTAAAGAAGGAAGATCATGGAAGAAAGTCTGTGAGGTGCAGGGACTGTGAGGGGGTCTGCACAACAAAGACATAGCTCTGGCCCCATCCTGTCTGAAAAAGTACTTAAATCCTTCCATTAACTGTAAAAGCAGAGTAGCTGCGCTCCGACTGGCAGTGACCTGGGTCCTGGCTGGTAGGCTGACTGTACTTCTGACAGTCCATTGGCATCTGTGAAAACTGGTTTGTTTTGTCCTGATTTTATGTGAAACACAAGGCAATGGGATCTAGAAAACAAATCTTCATTTTCTAGAAAGCTCCAAGTGGGTACATTAGAATTTGGCTATTGAAACAACTCTTTCTTGCAGTCAGGCCCTCCATATCTGGAAGGCAGCCCAAGCAGTAGCCCCTTTCAGGGATGCTACAAGGTGGCTCTGTCTCTCACCTCTGGCTGGGATGGTACTGCAGGACTGACTCTGCCACAGCAGAAGGATGTGAGGCTTGGGGCTTGCATGTGGATTACAATTTCTTTGTGGAGAGAGTAAAGTTGATGCCACGCTGTTGTGACAGGTCATTGAAGAGTGGCGGGTTAGACTGACGTGGGTTTTGCAGACCCCTGTAGAGCTCCCTTCCCCTGCACACCCACTGAAGCAAGAAAATGCCTGGCCTTGCCCTGCAGTTTGTGTCCTGGGCCAGAACGAGTTTTGATGTTTTCCCTGTTACACCTTGTCCAAAAGCAGCCTCCTATTCCTGCATCGGTATGATGCACCTTCCCCCACTGTGGGGTGGGGCTGCTCTCTGCACTCACCAGATTTCATCCAAGGGAGTGGCTCCTGCTCTGCTCACCCCTGTGAAACTTCACACAGCTCTTTAGGAATTGCCTTCCAGGGAGATTCTGGCATGCAGCCTTCATGCACACTGGAAAACAGGTGCAAGAGGGAAATTCTTAAAAGGATGAGTTCTCAGGCTTTGGTGCCTTATCACTGACGTGGCCAGAGCAACCAGAACCCCCTTCCATCAGGAGAAAATTCCCCTTCATCTTGACAAATCCTCCTAATTCTGCAGTCTACTAGATAATTCTGAGCTGCTCAAAGCAGGCACATTAGGATCTTTTGATCCCTGCTATGGCTCTTGAAATGCAGCCAGCCAATCACATCTACCAGTTTGGCTACAGCAGATAATTAGAGCAGAACAAGAGAATTAGCAAAGCAAGAGTCACCTTCTTTACAAGTCACCTTCAGCCTCACTCAGTTGTGCTTGGTCTGCTCCAAGTGCCTCCAGTCAAGCTTTGCCATGCCAAGATGGGCTTTTGCTCATTTAGGGTCACATTTCTAGGAAGCCTATGCACTCTCGACACTTACAACCCCTGAGCAAAGGAGCACTAACGGAACATGGACTTCGTTTTTCAGAGACAAATTATTCCTGACTGTTCTCTGTTACCAGGCCAATTGAAAAAAGAAAAAAAAAAAGAGAGAGAGAGAAAATAATTGGTTTTTGAGGCACGCCACTGCCAAGCAGGTCACTGGCAGTGCATAGCAGCAGCCTTGTGGGTATGTTTTTTTCGTTACAGAAGGACAAGTCCTGTTAGGGATCTCAGGAGAGTATCCCCACTCTCCAAGCCTAGCACAGTCCCTCTTCTGTTCCCATTTGGGAGTGTGCTAGCACTCACATGGATCCATCATGTGATCAGCAGGCTTTGGTCCTGCTGCCTGGCAAGGAGCTTGGGCTTTGGACACCTTCTGGGGAGAATGGGGAGGTCACACCTCCTGATACTGAGGTACTGAGGGCTTGTTAACAGCAATGGCACCTGGATGGACACTGACCCAGCCTGCCTCAACAAATCTGTGTTGATTTTCTAATGTGGTGGCTGGAATGGGGCTTAGAGGTGAGCAGGGTGGAGGTTCCTCTTCTGCCCAGGGGACGAGACTGTACCTTCCCAGAGCTGTACTCACTAGAAATGCTGCTTCCTAGAAGGCTCATGCTCTGCCTGTGCCTGCAAAAATGAGGATGGGGTCTGTATGGTAATACCAATATACCCTTGCACTGTTCCATGTGCCAACACAGAAGGAAACCCCACCCAGGGTACAGGTGAGTGCTATGTAAACAGGTGACCTGGCTCAGCTGAAGGGTGCCTTGGGTGCCAGGAGGACAGGACTGACCCAACACAACTGCCCAGCCACATTGTCCCCAGGCAGCATCTGCCTGCTCTTCCCAGGTCCTGAGGGAGCTCCAAGTGAAGGGTGACCCCATTTGTGACAGACATGTGAAACGTCCTGCTGAGACAGGAGGGCAGAGAAAGATGCAGAAGCCTGAGCAATCCTTTACATCCCCTCATGCAGGCATATCCTGTGATGTCTCCTCCAGACACACAAAATCTGGCCTGCCCTGCCTGTGTGACATCTGTACAGTTTGGCATGTGGGTAGAAAGGGCCAGCTCCTCCCTGTAGAGGAGGTTTCTGTAGCACAGGATCAGCCCCCCTGGGAAGGCAGGAGGTACCCACTGTCCAGGCCCTCTCTCAGCCTTGATCAAAGGCGCTGTGACCCCAGAGCTTTGCTTTGCCTGGCTCTTGGGACATTTCCTGCAATAAGGGTCTCTGCTTCTGACCCTGAAGCTCCTTTCCTATGTCACCAACACATCCACCAGTGAGAAATGCTCTCCACTCCTTCCCACCTGGAAGTCTGAAGCCTGCTCTCCTCCAGCTGTCAACTTGCATCCATCCCTTACTGGCCATCCCCTTCCTCAGCTTGGTGGCCTTTAACCATAAGGGATAAGACAGATGTTTGCCAAAATCTCTTGAGCACATGAGTGGACCTGCATCCCCAGCAGCTCCTCTGGGCAGCCCAGCTCTGTCCTACCCTGGCAGCTTGGCCAGCACAGGTGAAGGTGGCTCTCATAAGTCCATGGCAAAAGGGGCACCGCCAGGCCAGAGACAGCCCCAGGGCAGGCAGGGAGGCATTGCCCCATGGGTGGTGAAAAGAACTGAGGTGCCACAGGTCCCTCTGCACCAGCTGGCCACCTGCTGCTTCTCCCTTTCCACAGCCTTCTCCCAGCCTCTGCAGTGCCCATGGGCAGCAAGAGGACATGGAGCAGGGCCATGTATCCATGCAAGGAGCATTGGCAAGCTCCCAGGCAGGTCTCTGTCCCAGCGAGAGAGGGTGAAGCTGCTTCCTCAGGGCCAGCTCTGCTCATCAGGGAGGGTTCAGCCAGCAGCACTCCAGCTTTAATGGGGAACAAAAGCCCTGTGGGGGCTGCAGGGGCTGAGTCACACAGCAAGGAGGGTGTGGGACTCCCTGCCAGTCACGGTTCTGTGGAGGAGTGGGCACGGGGGCTGCTGTACCCCTTGGGAGGCGCAAATCCTCCAGCAGGAATAGAGAGGGGGAGATGTCATAGTTTCATTTAGGTTAGGTAACTTGAATTGAAGGTGCCACTGGGCTGTGGTTCCCAGGGAAAGACACAGCCCTTCTCCAGCCTCTGCTGCTTCCGAGTGTGGGGTCAGGAATGGCATGGGAATATGCTGTGCCACAGCACCCTGCAGCAGAGATGTCACAGGGCCACATGGAGGTGATGGGGAGTGCTGGCAAGACGAATGAGCTGCTCCTGACAACTGCCAAGGTAATACAACAGTCAGAGCACATTGAGGACGAGTCCCAGCTCCAGTCGTGCCAGACCTTCATGGAATGACACTGGGATTAGGGGTGACGGCAATGTGTTCTTGGTGTAATACATGGCTGTCGGGCCCTGTCATGATGCAGGGGCTATCTCATAGACCTGAAGTTCAAATTTTCCAGTGCCTAGCAGGTAAAGCCTCAGCATGTGAATCTGGGGCAGAACAAATCAGGCACATATGGGAGCTCTGTGGGGATTTCTCACCCCAGCTGGCATCCACAGCACCAGAGTGGGCAAGGCTGAGGCAGGCCATAGCTGGGACTGTGGTCACAAAGTTCAGTCCCAGCCCAGGACAAACAGATGATGCAACTTTCCTGATGGATGTAGGCAGAGAACAGAAGGGCCTTTCTACCTCTGGATGCCAAGACTGGAGAAAAAAATGCCTTGAATTAGGAAAAATCAGGGATAATGTGGCCTCCTAAATGGCAAGGAGCTGAGCCAGCTGGGAGGAGGGAGGCCATGCTATGGCCATACCTGCTTGGTTGAGTACCACTGCCCATAGTCAGGGACCCTGTGCCCAGACAGGTCTCATCCATATTGGATAATTGGACAAAACAACAGGTACTTTGCTCTGCTGGGGCTGCTGTCATGCAGTTTTCCAGGCTGCCTGACTTCACCTGATGGCAGGTCCGGTTAAGATAAGTGGCTCAGACCCAGCTCCCTGAGCAGCCTTTGCAGGCAGGCAGATGCCAGCTGGACTGTGAGCAGAGAGGGGTGGCTGAGTGGTCACCCTCCTCTGCCTCCCCAGACTCCGAAGGGTTAAGTGCCAGTTTCGAGTGTCTCTAAGGTGACACCAGGCTGCCTGCTCCGTGCAGCTCCCCGCAGCCCCCTCCCCACGCACACAGCACACACTCACGCTCACTTTCTGCTTTGTCTTTTGCGAGCTGCTGCAGTGCACAGGCACTTTACTCGCTGCCTACCTCTGCCTGCTGCTCCTGCTCGGCTGCTGCTGCTGGGGACACTAAGGGACGTGCCTGGAGAGGGACCCTCGCAAGAAGGCAACCCAAGCTCTCTTCCGCTTGCTGCAAGCATCGCTATCCCCGGACCGTGCTCTCTCCTAAGACCCCTTCTCCGGCGAGCGCTGTGTTTCCCACTCCCTCCCCGCTGCCCTCAGTGCCGGCACCTCCGAGGAGCAGCACCAGCGACTCTGTGTTTCTCTCAGATATTCCTCCGCTTCGGAGTGGCAGGGCAGCAGAGACAGCGTAAGGCTGAGCTGCTGTGCCTGAGCTGCCGTGCCTGAGCTGCCCAAGCTACTATCAAGAGGCTGATAAATACCACCGCAAAAAGTTGGACGCTGCTTTTTCTCGTGCTTGTGCTTCCTCAGGGGGTTAAGCCTCGCTGAGATTGTCCCACGGCCTTGAGGAGGCAAAGCAGAGCAGCACTGTGGGACTCTGTGGGGCAAGACCAGGCTGCCCAAGAAGTTTTGGAGGACTCCTCGCCTGGAAAGACACCTCACTTCACCATGGCTGAAGGTCCCGGGAGCTGGAGAGACTTCTCCCCTGCCAGGAATGATGGGGAGGTGGCCAGGGGGGCCACAGCAAGTCTCCAAGGAGCAGTAGATGCAGAGAGCACTGGGCGAGCACAGCGCTTGGGCCTCCACAGCATGGATCCAGCTTGGGAGGAGATGAGAGGGGCAGTGGCTGTGGCAGAGGTGGAGGAGCAGTTCCTGCAACTGGCCATCAGAAAGCAAGCCTCTTACAGGTAAGAACACCTCAGTCCCCAAGTGTCAGGGCTGGGCTGGGGCAGAGGAGTGCCCTGCCCTGGGGCATCTCCCTCCTACAGGGTCAGGGTTGGCTCTTCCCATTAACCACCAGCACCTTCTCACCAGAAACCATCTCAGCACAAAGACAAGGGAACCAGTTAGTCCCATCTCTCCCCATCCATGCAACAACTCCCTCTGCAGTGGCAGTCCCATTGTCACTTTTGCAGGTCCCCTTATTTTCCTTCTATCCAACTCCCTGTTCCCATCCTGGGGCTGTGATGCCTCCCAGGAGCAGTCTGTGCCCAAGAGCCTCCCATGAGCTCTGTCATGGGGCCATGGGCTGGAAGTTTTCCTCTTTCTCTGCAGCACCAGCTTTTTGTTGTTCAGTGCATTGAATACAAGGGACTTCTCATAGCACCTGTTCTCCTTTTCCTCCTCTTCCCCAAGGCAAATGTCCCCTTACTTGATTTCCAGGTCCAGAAACCTTGATCCCACCTGAGGAAATTGAGCAGTGATACAAAGATGAAGGGCCTGAGATTACGGCTTAGGCTATAAATGTGTTTTTTGGGGGCACCTTGAAGCAAGAGGAGATCTGTCCTGCTTTTTGGTGTGACTCTTCTGCCAGGACTGCTCTGCTTACCCACCTCTGCTATAGCCAAGCAAAGCTGGTGAAGGCAAAGAGTGGTTTTCATAGCTCTCAGAGAGCTTACAGCTTGTGGGAGCCACTGCCTGGTGACACTCAAGTGAGCTTCTATTCCCAATTCCAACCATAATGTCATAATCCTGCTTGGTCAGCATCTCCAGGACCTCAGCTCTACTCTTTCTGTCACAGTGAGAAAGGCCCAGGGTCCCACCCTCCCCTTTTTTTCACTAGAAGGGCGTTTGAGCCCTTCTACTATTTACTACCCCCAGTCTTAGCAGAATGGCTTTTAGGTGTAATTGAGGAGAAATCGTTTGATCCTGTATCTGCCCAGAGTAAATGTGAGCACTTGCAGGACTGACCCTGGATTACTGTGAGGGTCTAGGACTGAGTAGTGGGGAGAAGGCAGGAGCTGCCTCCTTACGGTTCTCCTGAGCTGGCTTGGCCGAGGGATGTCTCTGTGTCCTTCTGAGCTCCATGTCACCATGTCATGCCATGCTTAGCAAGTGCCACGTAGTTTACAGGCAGGTGGAAGACTGACATGGAGGATCTTGGTGCCATGTTCACTGCCATGGCAGATGAAGGCTGGATGGGCTCTCCTGCCTCTAGTCTGGGACTTGGGGACCCTGGAGTGCAGAGTTCCTCTGGGGAGGCAGATTTTGGGCAGGAGCTGTCAGTCACCTCCATCCGCACTCCCATGTGTACAGCAGCCCTTTTTCTCCTTTGCAAGGGCTGCGGTGCAAGCTATGAGGAAATTGCTCTCTAATACTGCAGTAATGAGAACTAATAGGAAACTGTATTAGTGCCTGCAGAGCAGGAGGGGCCCCTGAGCTGACTCATCTCCAGCACTTGTTATTCCTGCTGTGGGTGACGAGCAGGAGCTGGGGTGGCAGAGATCTCCTTGGGGTGCCCTGCCCCCCCGATCCTTGCCATGAGCTGGGGCAACATGCAGCTCTCCTGGTCCTCATTCTGTACTTAGAGCTGCTCACTGAGGCTCTGCCCTGATGCCACCGAGGATGAGAAATCACTGTGCCAAGAAGAGAGGGCAGAGCAGGCTTTTCTTCTCTTAGCTGTCTTCCTCCAGATGTGCACAGTTTTGCAAATGGATTAGCCAGCTGCAATTTTCCAGCCTCCCCTCCAGGGGAGGAAAGGGACCATATTGCAACCTAATTTGATCAGCCTGAATATGCTCCAGAATTGTCTAAGGTTGCTGGGGATTGTTTACATCCTACCCATGCCACCCCAGTCACCCAAAGCAGGTGGCTCTCTTGACATGCTCCAGCCTGTGCTGCCCTTACACAAAGCACCTCTGTTCTACTCAATCCTCACTAGGGATCTCTTTCCAAGAGACTTTGCTCCATTCAATGCAGGCTTTACAGAAGAGAGGATTCTGGGGGGTTGGAGGGAATGCTGCAGCTATCTGCAGGACATCAGTGAAGGAAGAAACGGTGCTTGGGATGAGTTGCTTCCTCCACCCTGCGTTTTGGGCAGCCAAGCGAAGGGAAGGAGAAATGGGAGAGGAAGAGTCTGGGGTGGAAGATGTGCTTGTGCTGTCCTGTGAAACCCATGGAGGTTTGAGTCTGGCCAGCTTTCCATCAGGTGCCCCTCCTGCAGCATGAGAAGCTTTGGGAGGCTGACAGAAATCCCTTTGCTGTGCTCTCTGGATCTGGAGACACTTACTGAACCCTGGTACAGACTTTGGAGGAGCTCCTCTGTGGGCCGCGGGCATTACAGGTGTCCTCAATGTTAAGAGAAGGTTGGAGACCTCAGTCTTCTTGCTGCCAACCTGCCTGCTCCTGCTGGGACCCATTAGTCATCACAAGGGGCAGGTGGCATAAGCTGCTATATAAAGGTTTTGAAATGAGCAGAAATTATATTAATCCCATGGAAATAAAGTTCCTTCCATAAATAGCTGCCACGGTGTATGGAGGCGCCTTGGGCGGGTAGAAGAGAGCTCAGCACTCAGGTTATATTTAGGGTTTTGAGTAGCAGTTTCGTGCCAAACATTAATGATGCTGGCTTGTGCACCAGATTTGCACATTCTGGGACAATTTTCCCAGTAGAGAGGTGCCTCTGCAACGCCAGAAGGACCCAATGCCCTCTGTCACTGCAGCAAACCTGGAGCAAGCACCAAGGCTTTGTACCTCACCCCTTGGAGAGTAACTTCTGCCAATGGGAGTCCAAAGTCAGCTCCTCCTTCCCTTGAGTGTCTCCACCAAGGTTTTGTGGTGGGGCAGGATCATCTCTAGCTTGAGACTGAGGCAGCTTTGGTGGCAATAAGGCAAGTTAGAGGTTGGAAGAACTTTGCTGTAGGGAAAACCCTGTGATGTGGGTCCAGGGAGGCCCAGGACAGGTGCTGGTGGGCCGCAGCAGCACCCTCCAACCTCTCGTAAGCAGTTCTGAGCTCCCTCTCAATTTCCTCACTTTCTCAGCTGCTTTCAGGGTGATGCTTGCAGCAGTATCCTTTGTCACTGCCACTGCTCCCATCAACCAAGATCAGAGGGGTGTTTACCCAGAAAGGAAACCACAAGCGCACAGAAGCTCCTGCATGGGCTCCCCACAGGCTATGCTGCATGTCTCCTGCCCCATAGATGTGCAGGGTGTCAGACAAGTGCCCTTCTGCTCTCAGCCACCTCCAGAGGTAGAACCTGGACCAGCCCACGCCACACAGGGCTCCTCATGGTGTGGGCTGGGCATCTCTGGCAGGAGGAAGAGGGGGTCCTGTGTCCCTCTGTGCCCCCCAGCCCAGTGTTAGCCTCTGAAGAGCAAAGAGGGGTATCAACTTGCCAGCTCCCATCCCTACTAGGGAGATGTGGGGCACCTCGGCTGCTCGGCACAGTCCCCAGGCTGGCAGATAGGACACAGCTAATGCATCTCACAGGCTGTTCTGTGCCAGGGAGCTAAATATAACCCAGAGAGCAGAGCAGAGGGGGCTACTTTGTAATGTAAATAGCAAGGGAGCTTGGTCACAGGGCAGGCAGGACAGAGGGGAGAGCTGGCAGGGGCTACTGGAGAGAGGGAGGTAGGAGCACTGAGGGGCCCAGGGGAAGCTGGTTGCAACTCTCTGCTGTCTTCTCTTCTGTCTCCCTTCATATCTGCCTGGACTCTGGGTATTTGTGAAGTCTCAGAACAGCCTGGACATGGCAGGGGTTGGGGAGGAAGGAAAGGAGACCTTCTCCTTCTGCAGGGAGAAAGGGGCAGTAAGGGGATCTCCTTCCTCTGAGTCCTGCCTGCTGGCCTTTTAATCGTGTTAGCCTGGCTCTGCAGAGCAGCATAATCAAATTCCCATTCATTTCCAGCAAGCTGAGCCTGCTCTGCTCTGACAGAGACATCTGTCTCTGCATCCCTCTGTGCAGTCGGGGAAAGGACATGGCTGGCACAGTCGGAGGAAAGTGCTATTAAGACCCTGATTTAAGCTAACCCAAGACCCTGCTGCTGCCAGAGAGGATACTTCTGTCCTCTCTCCTGCTGTGGTTTTTCCACATCAGGCAAGCCAGGTTAGCTCCCTGAGGCAGAAGATGACACCAAGTTAGCCTCCCCTGGTTGTCCCCATAGCCACAGCTGCAGCTTTCCATGCAGTGGGGGTGTGCAGAGAGGCTGTGGAGTGGGACTCCTCAAGAGCAGGCCAGTCAGGAGGTTAGAGGCAATGCCAGACTGCATCCAAACACTCCTACATGGGGAGAGCTGGGATCCCTGAACCAAGGGACATCCCTTCCCTTGGGCACCCCTTGATCCCAGTTAACAATAAATCCCACAGGCAGGTATCCTGCTGAGTTTGGGTGAAGCAGGCAGCTTCATCTTTTCTGTACCAGGGGCTGCACGACTAGTGCAGAGACAAGGGTGCTGGTTCACAAAATCACCCAGCACAGTGACCTCCATCCCAAGAACAGCCAGAACTGGCCTTTCTAGGGGATCCTCCACAGTTTTGCACCAAGCCCAAGGGACAGAACTGTGGAAGGACACACAGACACAGCACAGAGAGGATGGTGCAAGTCCCAGGGCAGGGCATGTTACTTCTCCGACAGTCTCACCAAGCACTGGTGCTCCTGGGTAAGAGGGCTAGACGTCAGTGCCATGAGACAGAGCACAGAATATAAAGTGGAAAAGTCCGCAGGCAGGGAGCAAATGCACCTAACCCATCGCGGCATGCAAAGCAGTGGGGATGACAAACTCTTCCCGTGACAACGAAACCTCTCCCCTCCCTGATCTCTGAGCTGGAGTTAGGCATCCAGGACCTGCCTTTTCCTCTCTCTGTACACTAATTAGCACAGATTGTGTTCAGTTTCAGAGCTTGCCTGGTGAAATCAAGGTCTGCTGATGTTTCTTTTTTTTTCTTTTGATGATGGAGGTTAAAGCAAG